GTCCGCCAGTGTCTATAAATACCAACCAATACTCTTCACTTTTAACACCAAATCCTCATACTTTTTTTTTTCTATAAATACCAACTAATACAACTAATAAAATAAAATATTATCCGATATGAATAGTATTGACACGTAGGAACCCAAAAATATTATCCAAAAATATTATCCAAATTAATTGTTTAAGTAAACAAAGTTGTGAAAAAAATAAAAAAAAAATGAATAGTATTTGTCATGGCAAGTTTAAACTGCTAAAAACACATTTTGCTGGGAGAAACTAGGGCAACTACTATTCATGTAAATAGTAGCTACTCTAGGGCTCCTTTTGCCATGACAAAGGATTAACTAGTGAAAATGCTCTTATGGGCAAGGAGAGAAGCATTATCCGTTTCAAAATAAAATAATAAGAATGTCAAATCATGTAAGAGGAACTCGTCGGGATAGGTCTATCAAGACAAAGAATTCGTGGGGATAGGTCAATCCTGACAAAAGCTTCGTTCGTATAGGTCTAAAGTAGTGGTTGAGGCTGTATGAATGTTTAATAAGGATGCTCACGTTGGGCTGTCTAGATGGTATCTGAGGTGATTTCTTAAGATAAGGGTGGGCTACTATTTGATTTGCCTGGATACATGCAGCGGGTCCAGTATCATCACATTATTCAATATATACACAGCATACTAGATATAAATTGTGTGAGCCCCAACCCACGCCACGATGAGATTTTCATTTTGGACACGTGTAATCTAATTTTATATTCACACTCTAGTACAGTCTCTCTCTCCACCCCACCCCACGATGAGATTGTCAAATTCAAACCTGACCTCGTCAAGTCCGTCATTCATTCCGTTATCTACGCCCTCAAGAAACCATATCCAGAAACGGGCACACCTTCTTCACAAACGAAGCGACGTTAAGTATTCATCCCATTTTCGTTCTTCACAACTCTCAACTCTCTCCCTCTCTGTTTCACAAACTCAATCAATCAATCCACTCAACTTTCTACTCCTCCGACGCGACCCAAATGGATCCCAACCCGTCCAACTTCCCCATCCTCTCCTACGTCATGAACCG